CCTGGGTCTGTAGTTTTCACAAAGTATGTAAATGTTAAACAAGTACAAATTAATTATCTCATGGTCTTTCTTAGTAAAGAGTAAATCTGTTAAAGCTTATGCAAAAAAAAAACCCACAACAAAACCAACACAAAAAACCACAATGGTCTTTGTGAAAACTATCAACATTAATTAAATGTCTCTCTTAATTTTATATGATGTTTGTCTCCAGCTGTCTGAATAATAAAAACAAAGTCATGCACCCTTCCCTTCCCTTCCCTTCCCTTCCCCTCCCTTCCCTTCCCTTCCCTTTCGAATTACTGTTAAACTTTAGCATGCTGGTATAACTCAACTTGGCAACTTGTGATTTGATGGTTCACATTTCATTTTCTGATGTAAACACTTTTAATGTAATTCTGGTTTTCTTTTCCATGGAACATAAGTTATGGTTTACCTTATTATGTAATATCTCCCTCTAAATAAAATTAACTGGAACTTTTACATATTACAAGTAATAAATTTTATGTTACTTCTATTACAAAGAATAATTTCCAATCAAACTTATCTTGTGCAATTAAACACATGATCACAGTTAGTGTATCGTTCATGACTATATATAAAATCATAAACACATCTATGTACATTATATATCTAGTATTTTGGTTGGTTTAGTGACAACAATGCCAGACAGGTGACATAAAGTGTATGAAATTTTCTTATTACAGTTTCTTCTGCCTTTGTCTTTGACTTTGTTTATCATGTGTTAGTCTGCCCAAAGATAATGGTTTAGACCCCAGTATTACACTTGTCATATTTGTCACATTTGTCACATGTCTGTGAGCTACAGATATTTTTATAAAATTTGTGACCTAACAAGACAAGGAAAAGGCTGTATTCACATTATTATATCATAAGCTAAAAAAAAATAAATTATAACCAAGTAGTTCAATTTACAGATACAAGACATTTGAAACTTCAATTTGAATTCAAGCAATTCAATTGACTGAATTACAGCTTAAAATTTGGTTCATAGTTGTGGATGATGGTAAGTGTATTTATCATGTTTGAAGAAATTGGAGGTTTGATAAGAAAATGGACAATTTAAAATATTGTTTAAGAACACGTTGTTCATTCATTGCCCTAAAGACAGGCCAGGATTTGATTGTCAACATGTTAAGGTGCAAAGAAATTTGAAAAGCAAACCTTTCTTCCTTGTATGGCAACACATACAAATTACTATTTTTCAGCAAGTACAGTACAAGGGAAGTAAACAATCGCATTTTTCACAAAGCATAGATATGTTTATGTAGCATTCAAATAATTGCAGTGTTGCACTAACTATAGGATTTATTTATAAGTGAATTCTAAGTATGAAAAGAAAGCTTTTATTTACCTGTAAGTGCGGGAAAGCAGGACATCAGGTCTACGCATGCATGAACAGTCATCACTCTCAGGTCTTTTGTTTGTTCACTGGTCAAGGAAATCCTCAGCCAGTCATCTCCATAGATGAGCAATAAGAGCTAGAAGCTGTGAATAATTCATAAAATAAAGCTGAATAAACAAAAGATGGACCTGTCGCTCAGACAGGCTGCAACCAAAGTTGCAGAGATCTGGCCAATATCTTCAAAGGGCTGCTTTTAAAAAACATCTTTCAAAACTTGTGAAAATTGAAGGACATCTATGATGACTGGAAGAAAACAAATGTTACACTCTTTATCAAAAGTACCAAAATCTGGGGAAGTACAGACTAGTTAACCAACTTCAATACCAGGGGAAATCGCAGAGTGGGTCGTATTGAAGCACATTTCTGTCCTTGTGAATAAGGTGACTCGTAACAATCAGCATAGATTTATAAAGGGTAAATCATGCTTGACCCAGTAGATTGCCTTCTGTGATAAAATGACTACATTTTTAAATCAGCATGAGGGAAATGGATATCATTATATCATTGGATATCAATGGATATAGTAAGTCAAGACATCCTGTCCAAACTAAAAGCAAGAAGGAACTGCACAAGTGGTTTAAGCAGGGACCAGTATCTTGGGAAGAGTACAGAAACACTGCCAATCATGCAGGAAGGCCAGGGCATAGCTGGACCTGAACTTGGAAAGGCATGTGAAGAATAACAGAAAGGGTTTCTACAGGTATGTCAGTAATAAAAGGAAGGTTAAAGAAAGTGTGTGTGTGTGAGTTCCTCCCAACAATAAGCAACAAAGGCAAGCTAGTAACAGCAGATGAGGAGGAGGCTGAGGTTCTCAGCAACCTTTTTTTCCTTAGTCTTCACTGGATACCTCTCTTCATGCCTCCTGAGTAGAAGGACCTCAAGACAGGGAGCTGGGTGAGGAAGTCCTTCCCACTGTAAATGAAGACAAGGTTCAGATCACCTGAGAAACCTGAACATGCATAACACTACAAGACCTGATGAGATGCACCCCAGAGTCCTGAGGGAATTGGCTGATGTCATTGCCAAGCCACTCTCCATAATATATGAAAAGTCATGGCAGTCAGGTGAAGCTCTTGGTGACTGGAAGAAAGGGAACATCAGACCCAATTTTAAAAAGCATAGAAAGGAGAACCCTGGGATCTACCAACCTGTCAGCCTCTGCTCTGTGCCTGGGACAGCATGGAACAGATCCTCCCAGAAGGTCTGATAAGGCGCGTGCAGGACAAAGAGGTGATTTGAGACAGCCAGCATGGCTTTACTAAGGGCAAGTCCTGCTTAACCAACATAATAGCTTTCTACAATGGAGTCATTGCATCTGTGGACAAGAGAAAGGAAGTGAATGTTATCTATCTGGACTTCTCCAAGGCCTTTGATACAGTCCCTCACAACATCCTCTCTACGTCAGAAAGACATGGATTTGATGGGTGGACTGCTCAGTGGATAAGGTACTGGCTGAATGGTTGCATCCAGAGGGTAGTGGTCAATGACTTGATGTCCAGGTGGAGACCAGTGACGAGTACTGTCCCTCACAGCTCCGTACAGGGACCAGTGCTCTTTAATATCTACATCAACAATACAGACAGTGGGATTGAGGGCACCCTCAGCAAGTTTGCAGATAACAAGATGCTAACTGGTGCAGTCAACATGCCAGTGGGATGGGTTGTTATCCAGAGGGACCTAGTTTACTGTCAGCCTGTCATATATTGTTTTTTGCCACACCTCCATTCTCAGGGGGGCACTTCTCACAGTTTTGCCCCTCTCTGCTGTGAGGTTGTCAAGATCCGGTATTTGGATACGTGGCAATTTTTTATAAAGATGATCCCAACTGGTGAAATTAAGATGCAAACAAGGTCAGATGTCACGTGCACAACAAACTTTTATTAGAGTAACACAGCAAAGGTCCCTAGAGCGAATAGGACAGGCAGGAAAACAGAGACAGAAAAGAGAGGAGAAAGCAAAGAGACAGAGGACAGCAAGCGAGAGAGCATAGTTACCACCCACGGTGCAGAGATGTCGTCGGTGGGGAAGTGGTTCCTGGTGGAAAAGTACTTCAAATGCACCCATAGAGTCCCAGACTTTTATACAGTTCTTGCCCACTGCACCCCCACTTTTCTTTCCGGAGTAGGGAACAACTCCTATCTTCTCCGTGGTCCTCCGAGTTAGGAGAGGGGTTAGGTCCTGCAGATAGTCTTTGTTTGGATAATTGCTGAGGCCTCTGCATAACGAAGGGGAGGATGAGACGACTGGCACCACAGGTTTAATTTATTGCAGGGGAGTATCCTGCTCCCAGAGCCAGCTGTAGATCTCTTTAGTCAATCAACAAATGTTTCTCAGATGCCACAAGACACACTACAGATATCTTGAGTGTCAGAGTTCATCACTTATCTCTTGGATTGTTCAAGACAAGCACTGTAAATTCTCAATGCCACATCACCCCGTGGCTCGACAATCCAGTGCTTCTTCCTGGGTGGTTCGCACAGCTTCTACTTGATCCCCAGCAATTAGCACATCATCAATATACTGATATCCTTTCACCCAGTCCTCTCTGGGAATCAACTCGAGTTCTTGTGCTAGAGCATGATGTGCTAAAGTAGGAAAGTGTTTGTACCCTTGGGGAAGGCGTGTGAAGGTATATTGTTGTCCTTCCCATATAAAAGCAAATTGATCTCTGTCTTCTACCTGCAAAGGAACCATGAAAAACATATCTTTAACATCAATAGTAGCCATGATATGGTGTGCCTGCTCTTGTATCAGAGCAATGAGCTCAGCAATGTTTGGCACGGCAGCAGTTAGAGGAGCTGTGTTGGCATTTAACCTGCAATAGTCTATTGTGAGCCTCCATTTCCCGTTTGGTTTCTTTACTGGCCAGACTGGAGAGTTAAAAGGGGAATGGCAGGGGACGACCACCCCTTTTTGCTTTAGATCTTCGATGACTGGAGCGATCCCTGCTCTGGCGCCCAGGGGCAATGCATAGGG